TTGTGTCCTTGGGATTACTGTGAGGTTCTCACCACTAGGCCACCATGCTCCTACCTTCCTTTGAGCTAATAAAGCAAAGTTATTCTGTAATTACAAATCCAAATGAAAAAGATTTACCACAACACAACTATTATGGTGACTACAACTCATAACACCGAGAACATCAAATTCTAGTGAGGCTTTGTAGCAATAGAAATGCTTATTTATTGCCTAAAGTACAAAGAAATTTGTCTCTGAGATAAGGATGGTGCAACGTCTTCTCACAGACGCTGGGCATTTTTTCATAAGAAGCCAGTCCTTGGAAACAGAAAGAACACTGAAAAGGGTGGAGGGCCAGAAAAAAAGGAAGATTGACAAATGACTGTAACCATTGTTTTGAGCACACTGAGATCAGGAAGTGGGTACAGGATGGTGCAACATTCATATCAATTCAGAGGATGGTAAGAAGTAGGGCTGGCCATCCACTTTTGAAATAACAGGGCTTCACCAAATCTTATGAATAGAGAATCTGGAACTATGACATTTAGGTCCAATAATTGCATCTTACTCACATAGCTGTAGATGTGTGGCAACTCAATTCTTCATTGATAAGTAATTCTTCGGAGAACCTGTTTTGTTGTTAGATGCTATTGAGTAAGAACTCAGAGACGCTATAAACAACACGTCTGCAACCTGTTTTATCTTGTGTCACCCTCATCCTCTCTGATTCACATGAGCCCATTATTGCAGTCACTGAATCAATCTATCTTTTTAGGGGCTGTCCTGCTTTTCCTACTCCTCCACGTTTCCAAGCATGATGTCCTTGTCCAAGGAACAGCCTCTCCTGGCTACATGCTAAAAATATTTGAGATGAAGTTTCTCTACTTTTGCCTCTAAGGAACACTGCGCTATAGTTTCTCAGAGACACATCTGTGTGTTCTTTTTGCATGCATAGCACACTCAGCACTCTTTCTCGACACTACAACTCAAAGGCATCAACTCTTTTTTTTTTCTTCATTATTTAGAGAATACTTTATTAGTTTCTGTAATCAAACCCATGTAGATAAGACCTTACATATTTAATAAAGTGCGTTACCCCTGTACAAATGGAAAAAAAATTTAACATTTCTAGACCAATATGGCTGTTAATTTCTGTACAATGCCAACTCAACACGGTACAACTGGGATACTTTTTCCAAAGGTGACAGCACAGCTAGTTTCCAAAAATTCAAATTATATATAT